AGTAAAAGATACGTACACAACACTCAGCGCCTGGAACAGGACCACAGTCCTTAAGTGAACAAATAATAAAACCAGATCTTTCTGCCAAAGTTTACAGCCAGTGAAAGTTAAGAAGGAGAAAAAGAAGATATTTTGTTAAATGATATTATTAGAATTGTAATAGCCATTAATTCCTACTGAGACTAGGTTAGGTTAGTTGCGTATCCTTTACAGGACGTTGCAGAACTAACCCTAACAGCCCCTGGCTGTTGTGTGGTTTTTCTAGGCAAATTTACGTCCAGTAGTTTGCCATTGCTTTCTGGAGGGCCGGCTTTCTTGATACCACTGTCAAAACCAACGCAAGGGGCATGGCCTGCAGCTGGGATCGAACCGGCATCCCAGCATTACAAAGCATTTGCATCTACTTAGCCACAGAGCCGACTACTGAGACTAGATAACTGTAGCTATCTTAACTGGAATCTTCTCATCTCATTTCTCCGTTCACGGGGAACATGTAAGAAGGGTTTAGTGTAAACATGTAAGAAGGGTTCAGTGTGAACATGTAAGAAGGGTTCACTGGGTGTGAGTGAGTGCGTGTGCATTCTTATGTGTGTTACCAGATTTTTCCTAACTATTTTCTAGCTAGCTAAAGAAAGAGAGGTCAAAGGACAGATCCGGCTGATGATTCGGGACGTAGCAGGTGCTTCATGTACTGTACAGCGCTCTGTGACTGCCAGAGTCAAGGATGGCAAGGTATACCTTTGTTTACCTTTTTTGTCCATCTAAAGCTTGTTTATATTTTGTATTATGGGGTCATTATTGCTCATTCCCTCTGTGGGTTCCGGGGCCCTATTATAGGGAAAACAAGAATAGACCCACTGCCTACCCAAAAGCATGTCGTAAGAGACAACTAATTGGGAGCTTCCTTTAAAGTGGGAATGCATCTGCCTGAGAGGCAAGGAACCAACAGTCTGCATACAAATTAGCCGGATCTGTCAAATGGATGCACACGCAACACTCAGTTTCTGGAACAGGACTGCAGTACAGAAGTGAAAAACAACCAGAACTTTCCACCAGAGTTTACAGGCGGTGTACGTGAAGAAGAAGAAGATTATTGCATGTGATGATTTTTTTAAATGTTGTAATTTGTATAGTATTATAACAAGACATGTGTACCTACACACCCACCATCCACATTTTTGGGGGTGGGGGGGGGTGGTTTAGGGAAGTCTTCTTAATGTATTAGTATACAGTGAGACCATTGCAACACATCTCTAGAAAATGCATTTGACATGACCATTTTAGGGCTCAAGGGTAATTTCATAGCAAGATCGTAAAGAGGGCACAGAACTTATAAATAGCGCATGATACACAATATGCAAATGAGGCCAGAAAAATGATTAACTGGAGGTCATTCATGGAAGAAATGAAGAAACACAGAGGATGAAAGATGTGGCTTGTTTCAGCTTGGATAGATGTAATATAGCGAATGTGATCCAGCTGTTGATTGAACAGCCTTAAAAGTCTATGGTTAAGCACCAGCAAGGAGATCAAAGTTAGAATTTTGAGAGTGTGCATCTTCCCTGTGGCTACATACGGATGTGAGTCATGGACTATCTCTCAGTCCTTGAGAAAGAGAATAGTCCCTTTTGAGCTGAAATGCTATAGAAAGATTCTCAGAATATCTTGGACAAAGAAGATGAGAAAAATTGACATCTTAAAAGATCTAAACATCAAGAAAGATTGGCTAATTAACAGCATCCTTTCTCGAAAGCTGAAATATTTTGGTCATATAAAGCGCCACGACAGATTGGAAAAAATTATAGCAGAAGGCATGGTACCAGGAAGGAGGGGCAGTGGTGGACCGACACGAAGATGGGCACAGGATATAGGTGACTCCTTGAGTGTGAAAGTTCATGAGGCGGAAGAACTGGCGAGAGACCAAGTTTCTTTCAGGCAGACTGTGATGAGAGCGACGTTCTGCAAAGGACCTGCTACATGATGATGATGATCCAGCTGTTAGGTTTTCTTCTTAATTTCCTTTTTTACCTCTTGGGGTGTCGAGGGGAATATAAGGTTCTACTTCTTGTTTTTATGGCCACCTCGACCATTGCCACATCATGTTATAGTTTCTTTGATGTTATCTTTCAATTTGTACTTGGTCTACCTCATGCTCTACATCCTTCACCTTTTGTGTATGCCTTATAAAGTATGGTGTCACATTCTCACATTTTCTCTAAGTGGGAATATCATTTGATGTGTTGTCTTTGTATGTAATTTAGAATTGGTTCTGTGCAGACTTTTTCCTCTTTTTAAGACCTCATTTCTGATTTTTATCTCTTATGGTCACTCTAGCAGCCTATCTCAGACATCTTATTTCCTTGGTTACTGATTTTCTTTTCTGGTTTGCTGTGAATGACCACGTCTGCCACAAGTAGCATGGGGTGGGAATAAACTACAACAGTAATCAAAATAACTAAGTTTTTAAAAGGGTAGAAAATTATAGGAAAGAGAAAAAGTTGGTAAGAAAGAACAAACAGTTTATGTTAGCTTTACAAAATCGATCACAATAAACAAACAAAGGACGTTGCGGCGATTAGCCTTCATCAGCAAAATAAATAAATAGTATGCAAAAATAGATGATTGCAGTCAGTTAAACATATCGTGACTGCTTGTGTTGACAGAGATCTTCCACAATCAGTTGTTGGTCAGGGGACAGACTGCATCACTGGACTCTGCTGCAGGAAGTAGTTGTTGAAGAATTTGCATTTAGTCTTCTCTTTAGCCTAGAAACTCATCCAAAAAAAAGGTCATGACCTGTTAGATTCCAGAAAATAATGTGTTACTAAAACACATTGTACACAGGACACTAATCAATTCATTACGAATGTGCTAATAAACAACTTTGAGTTTTTTGTTGAAATATACAAGATACAAGGAGTCATCAATAATCATATCAGAAAACTGACTTGATTTTACAGCTTCTTGGTGTGAAAGGGTTAACTTAGGTAATCACAAGTCAGTGCAAACTGGCCCTAAACATTCAGTGCTAATGTTAGATGTGGTTGTGCAGATATTTCCTCCGCTGTAAACAGTTATAACAGGAGCTCGGTAAAGGAAGGATGAAATAATAGTTTTTGACCCCCCGTGTGGGTTCCGGGGCCCTATTGTAGTTAAAACAAGAATAGACCCACTGTCTACCCAAAAGCATGTCGTAAGAGTCGACTAATTGGGAGCTTCCTTTAAAGTCGAAGGGCATCTGCCTGAGAAGCAAAGAACCAACAGTCTGTACACAGATGTGTCAGATCTGTCAAACGGATGCACATGCAACACTCAGGTTCTCGAACAGCAATGCAGTCCAGAAGTGGGCGAGCAACCAGAACTCTCCACCAGAGTTTACAGCCTGGTGAACGCAAAGAAGAAGACGAAGAATAGTTTTTGATATGATCAAGGAATTATTCGTAATTTGTGATTATAAATTTCTTCAGGGTAAAAAGGTTGAGATGAAGACCTGGATGGAGTAATTACAAGGTATAATGCTGATGGGGAGAGACATTCAATCACATCCCGGTGTGCAGACTTAAACAGGGAGGTGAGTCTAGTTTGTCTGCTCTAGAATGGTTGTGTTTTCCTTGTCAGTTAAATCTTCTTGTTCTTATTGTTCGCTGACTATAAACTGTGACCAAAAAGTTCTGGTTGTTTGTCTATTACTTGACTATGGTCTTGTTACAGAACTTGAGTTTTGTGCGCACATCCATTTTGCAGATTTGACTTACCATTTTACAGATCTGGCTTGAAGGTGAAGGCTGGGATTTTTTCACATGGACTTCTAGTAATTTCCCCAGGTCTCTGGGTAGTAAGACCGGGGGCCCATGTGTATTGTTTGGCACCTAAAAAATACCTTGGCAGTTGGAAATAAAAAAAAGAGAAGCCTAACGGCACCGCCCTTGTGAAATTTGGAGTTAAAAATCTACCCAAAGTATTTCAGGACTCTCGGCAGTGCAACGGAGTTCGTGTGCATTGCTCTGAGATTTTTCAGAGGCTTGAGTTAGAAGTAGAGCGGAGCACTTATGGGTTACACCTGTGTGCCATGATATTTATCCGTTGAATAAACAAAGATAAACTTAAACATAGATCTGGCTTATTTGTGTGCAGGCCTCTGGTTCCTGGCCTCAGATGCAGATGCACTCCAACTTTGAAGGAAACTTCCCTAATCAGTCGCCTTGTAGGACATGCTTGTCAGAGAGGTAGTGGGTCTCTTCGCCCAAGACCCACCCATCCCAGAATGGGGTCCTGGAACCAAAAGAACCAAAGCGGGGTGTTGAATGAATCATAGTAGCAAAGTAGATGAATCTCTCTCGAAGAGGTGCAAAGATTAATGTCCAAGTGGAAAGCGGAAGTTAGTCAACAATGGCCAATTGGGCACAGTCCCCCTGACCTTGGACCGACAGTGCCATCACATCCTAAAAGCTGTCTTTAACTAGTTTACCAAAACATATCTCACAAGGGCAGTTTCTAACACACATCATATATATGTATATATATCGTCACACATATGTCTGTGCAGTTTACATTTGCATGAGCCACTCACAAGTATGCAGATTGTTTATTTGATTAGGTCAATGGCAAAGTATCGCAGGGATTTGAACACGTATTTCCCCATGTGGGTTCCGAGGCCCTGTTGTGGGAAAACAAGAATAGGCCCACTGCTTCTCTAACAAGCATGTTGTATGACTTGACTAATTAAGGGTGTTTCCATCAAAGTCAGAGGACATCTGCTTGAGAAACAAGGAACCAACAGTCTGCATACAGATCTGTAAAATAGATGTGCAAACAACACCCAGGTTATGGAACAAGACTAAACTTCAGAAGTGGGCGAACAACCAGAACTTTCCACCAGAGTTTACAGCCGGTGAACGTGAAGAAAGAACACATACAGTTGTACTTCACAGTGGTTTAGTTAAGACTTCTGGATAAATATCTGGCAAAAAGGTAATATTGTTGTGTCTTGTATTTACCAGATGATTGGAGCCCTGGGTGTGTCAAAGCCTGTACTAGAAAATGTCATCTTCTGTCATCAGGAGGACTCTTGCTGGTAAAGATAAACTTCTTTGACAGCCAGAAATAGGCTTGTTTAACTCTTTGAGTCCCAAGGAACGCATCATACGTTCATAGATTCCTACCTAGAAGCCCAATCAGCGCAAAATGTGCTGATTTTACGTCTCTCTTTACTACCCCTTGGGCCTGTGATGCTAAACCCCCTGGGACTCAAAGAGTTAATTGTGTATGAAAGTTGGGCCTGTTGCCAGAGAACATGTGGTGCCTTGCTGTGTTGTAACTGCTGCTTCCTTTGATGATCAGTTACATTTCTAGTGTTGGACTGTTTGTGTTGGCACTGCAGTCTTATGCATTTAATGCATGTGCGTTCTGTTGGATTTGCTAAGACTGCAGTCTGTATGTTTTTTTTTTTTTACAAGGAACATTGAGGAGAATGGCACTGCGAGGAGTTACGAGGGGACCTGGCTGACGTTCGACACTCAGAGAAAAAGGGGAGACGGATATACAGTCAGACAGTTACCGGCACCATCTGAACTTTGACTCTTCGCTTGCTGCTAAAGATGGGGACAGAACACTTATGGGGGTGTCCTAAGTGCTGTGATGTAGATTCTCAATTCAACATTCAACAAAGAACACTGATGGGCATTCTTTGTGGTTGAAAATGTTGCTTTAATCAATATTAAATAATGTCAGGTGGGATAAGGATGGACATTGAAGCCAGTCAACTAATCAGAATCTTGTCGTTTATTCCAGGCCACTGAGTGAAGGAAAGGCTCTCAAAGATAAGTTTGACGCTATCTTTGCCTCCACCCGGTACACCAAAGTTTTGGAAGAATTGAAGAAGTTAAAACAAAGCCAGGTTTGTTATCTTCTTATTTGTCTCTGCTCTTAGATAGTTCATTTCCCTATATGGGCTCCAGGTCCCATTATGGAAAGAAAAATCCCTTTATTTCCTATTTCAGTACTTGTTTGGTGATTTTTGTTTTGTTTTGTTGTCTGTTCTCAGAATGTGTCTAGTATAGTACCATCTTCTCTGTCTTATAACTGTTGAAATTAGTCATTGCCCAGATGTTTCTTCCATTATGATACTGTTTGATATTTTTGCAGGTCTTTTCTCTGGGGCATGCCGGTGTGTTGAGAAGTGAGCAGGCGGACAGGTTGGCTGGCTCTGCACAGCTTTCTGGAATGTTGATGCATGATAGGGCATACATGGTTGGGGGCCTAGTGGGAGGATGTTTACAGTTTGGAACAGCAAGTTGGTCGTTGCAGTCTGGTGAGATGATACAGCCAGGAGTGACGAGGGGATCTGGCTGATACTTAGTGCTCAGAGGAAAGGCAAGACGGGCATATAATCAGACTGCTATTGGCTCCATTGGTATATGAACTCTGCTTGGCTGCTGAAGATGGGGATGGAGCACTTATGGAAATGCCCCAAGTGCTGTGATGTCGGTTCTTGAATCAAATCAAATTATAGAGGTGTTTCTTTCAAAGTCGGTGTGTCTCTGCCAAAGAGATAAGGAACCTCTTGTGATGTTCATTTTCTCAAAGAAAGCTTTTGACAGCGTCCTTTTGTTGAATAAGGATTTTGGTTTCTCTGTTAGGATGGGACCATCAGAGAAGGCAAGAAGGAGTTGGAATACTTGAAGCAGCTCAAACAGAAAGCCGAAGAGGTGAGCTTGTTTTCTTTGTTGTCAGAGATTCTCTGAACGGCATTGTGTTCTCGTCATGATCCTTTTTTGCATTTGTGATGTTGAGAGGACGCGTAAACACTCACCCTGTTTAAGTTTTTCTTCTTTTGTCTTGTCCTTCACTGTTTTCATCTCTCTGTTCTACCTGTCTCAATGTCTCTCACTTAGTTTCTTTTTTTTAATGTTTATGTGTATATATTCTGTCTGTCTTGTAGAGATATCTAGCTCTATGTTTCATTTTCTCAAACAGCGTCCTTTTGTTGAAATAAGGATTGTTGGTTTCTCTGTTTAGGATGGGACCATGAGAAGGCATAAGGAGTCTTTCTGTGCAGAGTGGCAAGCATCACTTCAAAGGTCCCGGGTAGTTAGCATCCTTAGGATATTTTCTCCAGGTCATGCCGGTGTGTTGGGAAACGAGCAGGCAAATAGACTGGCTGGTTCTGCACCACTTGGTGGTGAACTGATGTGTGACAAGCTGGATGTCGTGAGGGCCCTTTGGGAGTGAGTGAACAGTGCTGAGAAGCAAATAGATCGTTACGGTTTGAGGAGAATGCCACTGGGGGGAGTAACAAGGGGATCTGGCCGATGCTTGACCCTCGGGGGAAAGGCGAGACGGATATACAATCAGACAGTTTCTGGTACCATTGGAATTTTAACTCTTCGCTTGCTGCTGAAGATGGGGAAGGAGCGTTTATGAGGGTGTCTCAAGCGCTGTGATGTCGTTTCTCAATTCAGCATTCAACATTCTTCTTCTGTTTGCCTTTATGTATTTGTGTCTTGATTTTTCTGAGTGTTTCTGTTTTGGGGCCTCCTTGATAAACTCCATGATGTTAAAAAAGTATCCAACCTATGGCATTAAAACAGATCTTTGCTTTTGTTTTTCTACTTACACAGTGTCTCTGGTAGTTTCTGTGTCACGTCACTTGTATCCAGACGTTATTTTATTGTTTCAGTCAAGGTAAACAACCAGACTGTTTTTTGTGTCCAATAGCTTAAAGCTGACCTTGAGACACACGAGACTGAGTTAGCAGCATCCCTCGACAAGGTCAACAAGATCAACCAGCAGCTAGAGCCAATCAAAGAGAAGCTGAAAGACATTGATGATCGCTACAATGAAATCTACCAGCTCCAAACTAAACAGCGTAAGTCAGATATCATTTCTGCCTAATGTCAGGGTTTCTTATAGGGCAGACTATCACTAAGTCAAGTATCATTCCTGCCTTAATGTCAGGGTTTCTTATAGGGCAGACGATCACTAAGTCAGATATCATTCCTGCCTTACTGTCAGGGTTTCTTATAGGGCAGACTATCACTAAGTCAAGTATCATTCCTGCCTTAATGTCAGGGTTTCTTATAGGGCAGATGATCACTAAGTCAGATATCATTCCTGCCTTAATGTCAGGGTTTCTTATAGGGCAGACTATCACTAAGTCAAGTATCATTCCTGCCTTAATGTCAGAGTTTCTTATAGGGTAGTCTTATAGGGCAGACTATCACTAAGTCAAGTATCATTCCTGCCTTAATGTCAGGGTTTCTTATAGGACAGACTATCACTAAGTCAGTTATCATTCCCGCCTTAATGTCAGGGTTTCTTATAGGACAGACTATCACTAAGTCAGTTATCATTCCTGCCTTAATGTCAGGGTTTCTCATAGGACAGACTAAAAATCAAAGCAAACCAAGCGTGTCAGCTGTTTGTTTTTTTTGTGACCCATTTGAGGAAATGCTTTAGGCCACAGCTTAAGCCCTCTATTTTCCTGGTAAGGATTTACATTTAGTTATCCATTTGGCTGGTCAGGGGCAGACCAGTGCAGCAGTGGTGATTTTTTTGGCTTTCCTTGTTGGAATAGTGGTGACTCAGGTCAAAGGGTTAATTTACTTCTCACTTCTTTACAGAGAAATACGCAAGCGAGAAGCTTATTTCATGACTGTCAAGGAGGATTTTTCTTGAAGGATTTACATCAGTTTATCTTATACTGTTTGTATTTATGTCTTCTTTCCTTGTAAAATAAATCTTATTTCATTGTTCTTGATTATCACCTTAAGTTCCCTGTATGGGTTCTGGCACCCCCCTGTATGGGTTCTGGCACCCCAATGTGGAGAAAACAAGAATAGAACCACTGTGACCTTTACAAGAATGTCGTAGGAGTCTACTGTTTGAAGGCTTCCTTCAAAGTTTCAAGGTGCATCTGCCTGAGCGGCAAGGAACTACCAACTGCACACATTAAAGCCAGTAAAATGGATGTACATGCAAAACTCAGGCCCTGGCACAAAGCTAAAGTCTGAAGGGACAAACAGCCAGGACTTTCCGCTGGAGCTTACAGCCAACAAAGAAGAAAAAAGAACACTACCTTGTTTGCCCTTGTTGCTTAGGTTGTCTAAATCCGGACAAACTCAGATTTAGAGTCAACTGCAAGCTGTTTGGCAGCAGACTGCTATGCATTGGTTATAAAAATGGTATGAGCATTGACCATTCATAGGTAATGATAAACTATTCCGCCTGAAATTACCTAGTAACATCACAGCCAATAAATGAATTGGTTGGTTTGTGACACCCTGAAGAGGATATAGAACTAAGCTTTTAACTGCTACAGTCACTTCTAAAGATGAACTCACTTGGAATACCTGTTTTTCTGACACTAACACGATTGCATGACCTGGGGGTGAAGCAAGTCTATGCTACCTTTGAGACATTATAACCAACTCACCATGGAAACCTACCCGTAGTGGTACCTTTGGGTGGTTGCTGCATTGGAGGACTGAGGACCCACGGAAATGCCCAATGTGCAGTGATTTTGATAACATGGCCGAAGCAGAATCCCAGCACAGTTCGTGAATTGTGTAACAGGATCCGAACGTGTGTACAATTTTTAGCATTCCGGGCCTTTAAGCTTATTTGCTGCAGGTATTACATGTCTCCATTCATCTCTTTGATTCGCCTTCTCTTTCCATTTGATGACTAAGTGTTTGTAGATCTGCCTGTAAATATTATGTCTCCATATTCTTCTTGGTCTGCCTCATGGTCTACTGGTCAATTCAGCTGTTTACTTAAGGGCTAGAATATTGACATGAATATTAATATTGTTTTATTATTCTTTTATCAGGGACAACAACTCAGCTGAAGCAGACTATCAGAGAGTTCTCTTCCAAAGTTAATGAAAAGAAAGATGAACTTAGAAAAGTAAGACTAGATTGTATATCGTTTATTTAGTTCAGGAATAATAGGGCATTTCTTGCTGTGTTTATCCCTTTTTTAGATATCATTTTACAAATTTCCTTTTTGGATTGATTACAAAATAACTTTGATCTACACACTTTCATTTTGTAAAAACAAAAATGCTGCCAAGTGTATAGAAACCACACACAAAAACTGGCAGGATTAACATATTTAGGCTGAAAAGCACAGATATCACAGCCTAGCTGTTAGTTACAACACAGAAGAACATTGTGTTCTTAATTATTTTATATCATTATATATTTATTTATCGTTATCATTATTAATTTTAATACGATTTTGATTGTTTTCTAATTAGAAGTTGTATGCGAGCTGTGCATTTATTGCCCTCCATTGACTACATTTGTTTTCATACCTTTGTGCAGTATGAGGAACAGCAGCAGAATTTGTCCACCGAGCTGGAGAACATTGCCAAGGAGGAGAGTACCCTTCTGCTAGAAGTGGGCAAGCTGGAGAATGAAGCAGAGGTGAGTCAGAAACATTGTCTTTAGCAGGATGTCGTCATCTGTCAGCAGCATGTCATCATCTGTCAGCGGGATGTCATCACCTGTCAGCAGCGTGTCATCACCTGTCAGCAGGGTGTCATCATCTGTCAGCAGGGTGTCATCATCTGTCAGCAGGATGTCATCATCCGTCAGCAGGATGTCATCATCCGTCAGCAGGATGTCATCATCCGTCAGCAGGATGTCATCATCCGTCAGCAGGATGTCATCATCTGTCAGCAGGATGTCATCATCTGTCAGCAGGATGTCATCATCCATCAGCAGGATGTCATCATCCGTCAGCAGGATGTCATCATCTGTCAGCAGCGTGTCATCATCCGTCAGCAGCGTGTCATCATCCGTCATCAGCGTGTCATCATCCGTCAGCAGCGTGTCATCATCCGTCGGCAGCGTGTCATCATCCGCCAGCAGCGTGTCATCATCCGTCAGCAGCGTGTCATCATCTGTCAGCAGCATGTCATCATCAGTCAGCAGTGTGTCATCATCCGTCAGCAGCATGTCATCACCTGTCAGCAGGGTGTCATCATTTGTCAGCAGGGTGTCATCACCCGTCAGCAGGGTGTCATCATCCGTCAGCAGGGTGTCATCATCCGTCAGCAGGGTGTCATCATCTGTCAGCAGGGTGTCATCATCCGTCAGCAGGGTGTCATCATCTGTCAGCAGCGTGTCATCATCTGTCCCAGCAGGATGTCATCATCATCATGTGTCATCATCTGTCCCAGCAGGATGTCATCATCTGCAGCAGCATGTCATCATCTGTCCCAGTAGGATGTCATCAGCATCTGTGTGTGTCAATGTGTGTCCCAGCAGCAGATGTCATCTATGCAGCAGTGTGGAGACAGCAGCATGTCATCATCTGTGTCAGGATGTCATCTGTCAGCAGCATGTCATCATCTGTGTCAACAGGATGTCTATCATCATCTGTGTGTGGAACAGGATGTCATCTATCAGCAGCATGTCATCATCTGTGTCAACAGGATGTCATCTGTCAGCAGCATGTCATCATCTCTGTCAGCAGGACGTGATCTGTCCCAGCAGGATGTCATCATCTGTGTGTCAGACGTGGATGTCATCATCCATCAGCAGCATGTCATCAAGCATCTGTGTCGAGACATTACTGTCAGCAGTAGGATGTCATCAAGCATCTGTGTGGAGACGTGACTGTCATCAGTCAGCAGGATGTGTCATCAAGCATCAGCAGGATGGATCATCCGTCAGTAGGATGTCATCAAGCATCTGTGTGGAGACGTGACTGTCCCAGTAGGATGTCATCAAGCATCTGTGTGGAGACATGACTGTCCCAGTAGGATGTCATCAAGCATCTGTGTGGAGACGTGACTGTCCCAGTAGGATGTCATCAAGCTGCAGCGTGTGTCATCATCTGTCCCAGCAGGATGTCATCAAGCATCTGTGTGGAGACATTACTGTCCCAGTAGGATGTCATCAAGCATCTGTGTGGAGACGTGACTGTCCCAGCAGGATGTCATCAAGCATCTGTGTGGAGACGTGACTGTCCCAGTAGGATGTCATCAAGCATCAACAGGAGGATGTCAGCAGCATGTCATCAAGTCAGCAGGACGTGTCAGCAGCATGTCATCAAGCATCTGTGTCGAGACGTGACTGATCCAGCAGGATGTCATCATCTGTGTGGAGACGTGACTGTCCCAGTAGGATGTCATCAAGCATCAGCAATCATCGTCTGTCAGCAGCGTGTCATCATCCGTCAGCAGGGTGTCATCATCCGTCAGCAGGATGTCATCATCCGTCAGCAGCATGTCATCATCCGTCAGCAGGATGTCATTACCTGTCAGCAGCATGTCATCACCTGTCAGCAGCATGTCATCATCTGTCAGCAGGATGTCATCATCTGTCAGCAGGATGTCATCATCTGTCAGCAGGGTGTCAGCAGGATGTCATCATCTGTCAGCAGGATGTCGTCAGTGTCATCATCTCAGTCATCATCTGTCAGCAGCATGTCATCATCTGTCAGCAGGATGTCATCATCTGTCAGCAGGATGTCATCATCTGTCAGCAGCGTGTCATCATCTGTCAGCAGCGTGTCATCATCTGTCAGCAGCATGTCATCATCTGTGTCAGCAGCATGTCATCATCTGTGTCAACAGGATGTCATCTATCAGCAGCATGTCATCATCTGTGTCAACAGGATGTCATCTGTCAGCAGCATGTCATCATCTGTGTCAACAGGATGTCATCTATCAGCAGCATGACATCATCTGTGTCAACAGGATGTCATCTGTCAGCAGGTCTTGTAGAGAATGTTGCTCTCATAACGGCACGCCTGAAAATCTCTCTTTCTCTAGCCAAGTCTTCAGCCCTGCGTGCTTTCATAGCCAGTGTGTCTTCCGTATCTTTTATCCACATTCATGGAGATCTGCCTCGTTTTCCATAAACTACCTTCCATCACCATTCTCAGGCCACGATGACATTTCTCATTTCCAGAATCGTGCAGGATAAAGTAATATTATATAATAATAGCAATAGTTTTTGGGACGGTACCTGGCTTGTTTCAACAGGTGGAGAAAATCTTAGATGTACATGTTGTCATAGTATCGGATTCACGGAGCATGCTCAGGCAGGTTTAATCAGGTTTAATCTTAGTATGGAATGGTTCACTTCAATCCAGAGGTCACAGATGGTTGGAGTCACATTTATATTTTGCTGGAGCTATGCAGGCATGTTTGGAAATGAGCACGGAGATTGGTTTGCTGGACTGGATCCGCTGGAAATATTTATATCTCGAAGGAGCATTACTATCAGCATATTTAAAAAAATAATTCTGTGCTTTCTCAACATTGAAGGTTGGTCCTAGTGTACCACTGTTGTCTTTGGAAATATTACGTGGTAAGGCGTCAAACTCTTCCATGGTGTGACTCCCGTACCATGGTCCGAAAAGCACAAGAACATATTTTATTTAAAAACCATCTACCGCGGTTAACGAAACCCCAGTACTCGTTGATTATGAAATTGATAACTGCATTCACTAACCTGTAAGCTGCAGAGCTACACATTGACATATAATAAACCACTATAAACTGAACCCCTTTAAATGAAATACACAAATCACATAGTTCAACTGTATCTCTCTGCCGGAAATTCATGCTTAGCCTTGGGATTACCATGGCAGCTTCAGAGTTACATGCCATGTGAGTTCTGTAAAAACAAATCTAACATATTTGCCCGTGTATAAGACAATATGTCTTCCCAAATTCTTTAGTTTCAAATTGGATGTCATCCTATACACAGAATGTGTATCAAATATTTATTGCTTACTTTATGATGGAAAAATTGGGGTCAGCTTATACATGGGACCATCTTATATACGGAAACATACAGCAAATGGTTCAATGTTTATAATTTTTTGCTGTCTTTTCCAGATTCACGAAGAGAATATCAAGAAGCGCAACTTGAAGATCATAGAACTAGCTCAGCTGTATGAATTTGAAGGTTTGTATCTCCTGACCTTTTCTTCTGGTTTCACCCTTCAAATGGCATTGGGCACATTGTGTTGGGGTTAACAGCTAGACCGTGATATCTGGGCCTTTCAGCCTAGCACATCAGATTTCAACAGATCTCTAATTGTCACCTTTAAAAAAAAATATTAAGGTCTTTTCACACTCCAGGGGCACATCGGGCATCTCAGGCTAGACTCATATGTTTATAGATATAGACCAGTCGGCGCTCGATGGGGGATTTGATAAACCTCACCCCAGCCACCATGGTTACCTTTTACGACATGCTTAACCACTCCCCCCCCCCCCCCTCCTTCCCTCAAAGGGTCCTGGAATCAGTAGTCAATATCATTTGACATTTTTTCCCCTGATTCTGTGATATTGCCATAACACCTGTTCTGTGATATTCCCATTACACCTCTTTTGTGAAATACCCATAACACCTGTTCTGTGGTATTCCCATTACATCTGTTCTGTGGTATTGCCATAACATCTGTTCTGTGGTATTCCCATTACATCTGTTTTGTGGTATTACCATAACACCTGTTCTGTGATAGTTTTTTTATAATTCCTAAACACCATTGATGTTTTTATGCCAGTAGTAATATTCCGACACCAGCAGTCTTATGAAGCTGTCCTCATGGAGACATATGTAAATCGTAAACTTATTAGAACAGTTAGGCGCAGACAGTGTTTTTTGTACATGTTATGAGAAGGGACCGACTCGAGAATTTGGTGACAACTGGCAAGATTGAGGGAAAGAGAGCAAGAGAAAGGCAGCGAGATAAATACTTGGATGGCCTGGCCACATGGATGGGACGAGACAAAAGCTTTGAACTGATCCGTGATTCTGGTGATCGTGTGGGAGATGGTGAAACATGGCAGCGTACACTTTCAGGCACCGCACACGATGATGATGTGTCTAAGAGGAAGTCTCAGTGGTGTAGTGGCTAGATGCTCGCCTGCCAGCCCAAGGTCTTCGGATCAAGTCAGATTTGTACCAGGCAGTGTCCTAGGAAGTAAATGTGGCTAGCGGGATATTGACCACATCACTTATTGAGTGCAAGTTAGTCTGTAAAAATCTGATTGTACCAGACTTGCCCCTAGGGTTAACGAGGTTCTTTACTGACTTACTTATCAATCTAATTGGATAACACACTTGACCAGGTCTTATTAAAGCCAGTTAGTCCTGTAGCAACTCCTGTGCAGAACGGGTACTATTTAGCTTTTTCGCCCCATCTCATCTAGTGTGAGATTTTGTAGGGAATTCCTGAGATAGTCCTAGTCTAGGGGTATTATGACGTGCCTTTGTTCGCTGTGTATATACAGGGCGCCAACAAGTGTCTTGGCTTCGTTCCACTGGGTCCACACACTGCCTCCCACACGAAAGTGCGCAGCTTTCTTTTCTCACAGAGAAAGTAAGCAACTCTCTTTTCTGTGAATGAATATTCAAATATTAAGGTTAGGGTCAAGGTTAGATGCAGGGATAACTAACAGGTCACAGAAATTTATGACAGAGGCCAAGTAACGAAGTAAGAACAGCACTTCCCTACAGGGTGGAGTGAGCGCAACAAACAAACAAAATTAACACACAGTGGAAATGTTGACGCAATAAACTACCTAGAATATAAAAGTTTTAATATTGTAGCATTAGTGTTAAATGAACAGCGACTAAAACTAATTCTAACCCTTACCCCCTAGACCGTAGGTCTGTCCAGAGAAATTCCCTATGAAATCTCGCACCCTTGAGAAGGGGAGAATAGGCTGAATAGTACCACAGAATGTCGCTGCCTGAAAAAATAACTTGGTCTCCCGCCCGCTGTTCCACCTTGTGCACTTTTGTATCCAAGGAGTCATTTATATCCTGTGCCCATCTTTGTATTGGTTGGCCTCTGCCCCTCCTTCCTGGTACCATATCTTCTGCAATTATTTGTGTCCTTGTCTTTCATGGTGCTTGATATGACCAAAATAATTCAGTTTTAGAGACAAGATGTTTATTAGATGTTCAGATCGTTTAGAATATCAGCATTTCATCATTTGTACATGGTATTCTGAAAATCTTTCTACAACATTTAAGCTCAAAGGTCCCTTTTTTCTTCCTTGAGGACTGACTAGACCAAGATATAGGAATAAGAAAATGGAAATAATGTCAGTGTTCTATGATCATATACATACAGGGTTTGATGTGAGCACTTCCATAGACGACAACCTGTACCGCACATTCTTTCAGAGGATGAAGGGGAAACTGGAGTCTATGATGGAGGATGCTAGGAGGAGAAAGGTAACTCTTACTTTCTGAAGATCATCATTATTACCATCACCTCGCCATGTGAGTTTTGGGGCCAAATTTTTATGGGGAGGGGGGGGGGTGGTGGGAATAGAGCTTCTACTGAGAGGTGAGGAACCAACAGTCTGCATTCAAGTAAGCCAAATCTGTAAAGTGGATGTAGAATTCAAGTTCTGGAAAGGGACTAAAGTCTAGATGTGGACAAACAACCAGAACTTTCTGCCAAAGTTTACAGCGGGTGAACACTATGAAAATGATGATTCTTCTTCTTCTAAAAGTCCATGCCGTGTGGCGGTAGTCATGTCTATCCACAGCCTTCTGTTTTGTGTACTTTCAGTCAACTCTAACAGATGATCCTCCATGCCACGATGGCAAACTTGCCTCTTTTCTCAGTCTCCGTTCTCCCACCTCTACTTCAACATGTTTTTCCAAGTGTTCTCCCCCATCATGAGAAAGAATATTGTCTCTTTCTGATGTGGGCAATCATTTCTCTTTGTGAGTCAGTTTCTTTCAAGACATCTTCGTTACTTTTTTTTCCTGTCTAGCTTATTCTCATCATTCGTCTATAAAACCACACCTCTGCAGCTTCCAAATAACTTCATTACCAAAATCGTCATGATCACACTCTACATTCTCTGTTGGCCATGGTGTGACCCAGTGTTACCATTCTGTGCTTCCCCCTGTATGTCTTTATGTGGAGTTCACTTTTCTTTGATTCGTGTGTGCGCTGCAGTTTTTGATAGAATCTTCTTTACTCTACATTACAGGCAGAGTTTGAAGAGTCCGAGAAGCAGTTGCAAACAAAAATTGATGCACTGAAGGAAAACAAGATGAGACTGGAACAGAGTGAGAGAATCAAGAAGGAAACAATGGTTAGTGTTTTCTGTGTGATTTCTTTGTGTGATAGTGTCACTCACTCTGTGTCCTTTTGTGCCATTATGTGTCACACAGGGCTCACAGTCTTTTCCTCCATTTACTTCGGTCCTATACGATCACTTCAATATTATTTATGGAATCTACTCCAGCACCGCTGACTTCTCTCAGCCCTATTCATCTTAGGGTTTCTCTCGGACATGCTCGTTTCCTCAGTCCCTCTAGTTCCCTAACTATGAGAGCAAAGAGACAGATTATAAACAGCATATTCATGCCAACATTAAGATACCAGTGCTAAATATGGACACTATCTAAAGCCCATGTATGCAGAATCACCACTTGCGAGATGAGATGCCTGAGAAAAGATCCTGATCTAACCTTCTGAGATTGACTAAATAATTATACTGCCAAATTGTGTGAACGACACATTGTACTAGATTCATCAAGAAACAGCAGATCAAGTAGTTTGGCCATCTCGTAAGAATGCAGCAAGATCAAATACCATCACAGGCACTGCATCTCAGTTGAAGAGTAAGAGGATAGCCGCCAAAAAAATGGATCGAAAACATTAAAGACACACTACGCCTTCACGGCATGACAACAGCCAGTGTCATTCAGCGAGCACTGGATCACAGATTATTCCTCCCCCTGACGCTTAACAGCAGAAGTGGTTTATGATGATAATCTATTTCCCATTTCAGTGACTGAATAATTCTCGGGAATTTCTTCTTAGAGTGTGTCCAGTAACAGCTGAGAAATTTGAACTGTAAACTGTCTTCTAACTAGCATTGTATCACAGAAATGTGGTGTGTCTACATGGGTTGCGAAGCCCCGTAAGGGCGGAAAGGGGGAGGGGGGGTGTCAGGGTCGAATAGACCCCCACCTACCCTTAACAAGCAGTCCAACTAATTAAGGGTTTGCTGAAATTGAATGAGTTGGGCCTAAAGGCACATATATTGTAGCCTGGCTGTAAACAACAACACAGAGTGGCGACCACCATTTTAAGGGCACACGTAGAGGAATGAAGAAGAAACGTAGAGCACTGCCTCAAGGAAATTAATTGTGTTTGAAGTTTCTGACGGCTCTGTTGCCGGTATTTCTCACATGTTTTTAATGAGACTGTAGAAATGCTTGCATTTGATAAATGAAGAACATTTAATGCAATAAATCTATGTCCTTGGGTGTCAGAACGAGAATTCTTGCATGCTTTATAGAGCCAGTTTAACATTTGGCTGTGGATTTTTGGCTTGAATTTTTTTTTAAATGTTGTAAATTTTTTAATTTTTTAAAATTTAATAATTAATAAGCAGGCCCAAAAAAATTTTCTTGAGGCCTTGAAAATTAGATTTTTTTTGAAGAATTCTTAGAATTCCTTGGACAACCAAAAATAGCAACTGAGATGTTTTGAAAGAGGTGAGGGCTTGAAGACAGCTTAAGATAAACATAAAGAAACAGTTATCATTTTTGAGTCATATTGTGAGAACTGGAAGATGGTGTGACCATTGGAAAGATCTGTTGAAGAAAGAGACAGAGGAAGACAAGGCGAGAAGATTTTTGAGTCTTTTTTTTTCATGGCATGGAGAGCTGTCAGCCCGCAAACTGATGCCAGCTGTTGAAAATCACAGATTGTGGAGGCATGATCGCCCACGCCAGTCGGCAAGGCATTAGAACATGGCGATGATGGAAATACTTAAACACCCATATCCTATTGTTCATAGTTCTTGTATCTATGATTTGTAAATCACAGGTCAAAAATGGCGAACAAATCAAAGAGCTGACTCAGAAATTGAATCGGATGATGACGTCTGCTGACAAAATAACTGGCTTGACCACACAGCTTAGGCGAGCGGTAAATTGACATTTTCTTCTTTTTTACATTTCCTTGTTCATGTAACAGGTAATCCCATTATAGCCACCTTCCACAGTACCAACTGATGGCAACTCTGATGTACTGTTTTTATTGTCTACTTATTTCTGGTGTACTGTTGTAATTGTTCTACTGTTTTTCCTGGTGTATTGTTCTGCTTTTGTCTGATGTACTGTTCTCATTGTGCTACTTTTTGCAACTGATCAGTTGCCCTGCTTGAATGTTGAATTAAGAATCGGCATTACAGCACTCAGGACATTCCCATAAACACATCATCCCCATCTTCAGCAGCAAGGAGAATTCCAATTCCCATGGTACCAGTAGTAGTCTGATTGTACAGCAGACTCCCCTTTCCCTTGAGTGTTGATCATCGGCCAGATCAAGGCCAGATGGACTTTTCCCCCTGACTTTATTGTTACAGATCCCTTGGTCACTCCACACATCACCATTCTCCTCATCATCTATTTGAGCTTCTGTACTGTTCACCCATCCCTAAAAGGACCCTTATAACATCTAATTTGTTTTGCATCAATTCACACCATCAACTGGTGCAGAACCAGCCATTGTTATCTGCCTGTTTGTTTCCCAACACACCAGCATGACCAGGAGAAAATATCCAAAGGATGGTCACTAGCTAGGACCTTTAAAGCGATGCTTGCCACTCTGCACAAAGCATACCCGTCTCCTCATATCTCTTCATGCTTTGTGAATCAGTTACAGTTGTGTGTGTGTACAGCTGGGTGTTTGTTGTTCTGCTTATTTCTATTATACTGCTGTCATCATTCTACTTTTTCTTTTCTGGTGTATTCTTCTGCTTTTGTCGGATGTACTGCTGCTGTCATTGTTCTACTTTTTCTTTTCTGGTGTATTGTTCTGCTTTTGTCGGATGTACTGCTGCTGTCAGTGTTCTACTTTTTCTTTTCTGGTGTATTGTTCTGCTTTTGTCGGATGTACTGCTGCTGTCAGTGTTCTACTTTTTCTTTTCTGGTGTATTGTATTGCTTTTGTCGGATGTACTGCTGCTGTCATTGTTCTACTTTTTCTTTTCTGGTGTATTGTATTGCTTTTGTCGGATGTACTGCTGCTGTCATTGTTCTACTTTTTCTTTTCTGGTGTATTGTATTGCTTTTGTCGGATGTACTGCTGCTGTCAGTGTTCTACTTTTTCTTTTCTGGTGTATTGTATTGCTTTTGTCGGATGTACTGCTGCTGTCAGTGTTCTACTTTTTCTTTTCTGGTGTATTGTATTGCTTTTGTCGGATGTACTGCTGCTGTCAGTGTTCTACTTTTTCTTTATTGGTGTATTGTTCTGCTTTTGTCTGATGTACTGCTGCTGTAAATTTTCTACTTTTCCCCTGACTTTATTGTTGTACTTTTTTTTGCATCTTCCATTTAAGCTGTTTATTTACCAGAATAGCTGTATATACAACTTAGGTACATACGAGCTGCTGTGTTGCCCCCCCCCCCCCCCCCCATTATTATTATTATAATAATTAATAGGGAAGAAGCAGCAGATCGTAAATGCTAAGTGTTATTGTAAATGACCATGCATAGATAACATGAAAGTCACATTTACTTTCTATATATTTCAAGGCAAACTGTTTCCCTATTAACTGTTTGTCTGTGTACCTCTTCTAAGGAAGATGAATTGAGCAAGGCTGAGACTTCTCTCAATGTAGACGAGGTTAAAACAGAAATAGCATCTCTGGATCGCCAGAAGAGACAACTGGAGGCTGCAATAAGCGACCTTGAGTAAGTATAACATTTTAAAGCTTGTTGAGAGTCTCTGTGAAAGAGAGGTGGTATCTTCACCTGCAGCTGCTGAAGTCTTAGTCTTAGTTGATGTTTTAACTTCACTCGGGTCATCCCATGCTTACTCCATTCCTGTGCCAGTGAAAATCACATGAAATGTTTCTCAGTCTCATTTGAAAAACTGGTGCAATCCAGAAATATACGCATGCAGTAAATGCATATGGAAGTTGCTAAAGGTGCCAAAGACAACAGTCGCCACCAGAAATGCAGTTTGTCGTTGATGGAAGTAGTTGGACATGATAACTTGTTATTTCACCACCTCACATGTAAACCAGTCTCGGGCCATATTGAATACTACAGCTCAGTTGCCGCACAAATGAAAAGCATTTCACATAAAAAAACACAGCTCACAGTGCTGCGTTAAACACTAAACTCAGTAGCTCAGGAAATGAAACCGTAGACTTCCGCTGTTGTGATCACAGATTTGAGCAATCTGTATGTGTTCATAATCAACGTACAGACCACACTCTTACATTTTAGCATCTACAGAGGGAGACAATTTGAACATGCTTGTCCTGAATGCTGAAACAATAATTTTGGTAAATTTGTGGGTGTATTGACTGAAATCAGGAACAGATGACGAAAGAAGCAGGGTCTCCAGTTCACTGGCTGTAAACTCTGGCAATATTTTCTGGTTGTTCGTCACTTCTGGACTTTGGTCTTGTTCCAGAACTTGAGTTTTGCGTGCACATCTATTTGACTGAAATGGCTTATTTATGTGCAGACTGTTGGTTCCTCACCTTTCAGGCAGATGCACTCCGATCTTGAAGGAAACATCCCTAATTAGTCACCTTGTACGACACGTTTGTTAGGGGGCAGTGTCCCTTTTTTTTGTGTGTGCCCCTTAAAATATGGCCCCCGGAACCCAGGAGCAGATAGCAGGATTACTGTTTTGATGTTCTGTTTTTACACAGTGATGACATGCATCGACTTCACAAACAGTCCAAGGTACAGACAGAACTGGATATGTTGATTGACAGCCAGAAGGTGAAGTCTCTATCTTTGTCTCTGTGAATGTATTCTCCTCTTATTTGTTTCTGTCTATATCTTTTGTTTCTGTATATTTCTGTTAGTTTCTGTCTATATCTGTTTTTTTCTGTCTATATCTGTTTGTTTCTGATATTTGTTTCTGTCTCTGTCTCTATATTTCTGTCTATATCGGTTTGTTTCTGTCTTTGTCTGTTTGTTTCTGTCTGTATCTGTTTGTTTCTGTCTACATCTGTTTGTTTCTCTCTGTATCTGTTTGTTTCTGTCTATATCTGTTTGTTTCTGTCTTTTTCTGTTTGTTTCTGTCTATATCTGTTTGTTTCTGTCTACATCTGTTTGTTTCTGTCTGTATCTGTTTGTTTCTGTTTACATCTGTTTGTTTCTGTTTATACCTGTGTGTTTGTATCTGTTAATTCTGTCTATATCTGTTTGTTTCTGTCTGTATCTGTTTTTTTCTGTCTACATCTGTTTGTTTCTGTCTATACCTGTGTGTTTGTATCTGTTAATTCTGTCTATATATGTTTGTTTCTGTCTGTATCTGTTCCTTTGAGGTTAGTGAGCTTGTTTCACAATGCATTGACATTTACTAGGGCTCAATTGCTGCACTGGGCAGTCAAGAAGAAGGGCTGTACTAATGGCTTTCAAATGCTACAAGAGTCACACTGTGGAAGAGGTTGGGGCTTCACCACATGATTATCTTAGTTAGCAGTTGATACTTGTTATCACTCCCCCACACTAGATTACTAGTTACTTTGTAACTGTATTGTGGCGCCCCAGGATAATTGTGGGAGCCACCATGGTGTAGTGGCTAGACACTCGCCTGGATCTGAGGGTCATTGGTTCAAGCCCTGATAGAGCCAGTTTTTTTTAAATGACCTCGGCTTCCAGGGTTATGGGTTACCAGGTAAAGTCCTGGGAAGTAAAGGTGGCCAGTGTGATGTTTACCACATCACCCACCGAGTGCCGATTTGTCTATAAAATATAGGTCTAGCCCTGTATGCCCAGTATGTCTGATGGCATGGACAAGGGTCCTTTACTTACTGACTTAATATAATAGTATAGTATAGTGGTTTAAAGTTGAAAACAGTATGGTACAATGGTTTAATGTTAAAAACAGTATGGTGTAATGGTTTAAAGTTGAAAACAGTATGGTGTAATGGTTTAATGTTAAAAACAGTATGGTGTAATGGTTTAAAGTTGAAAACAGTATGGTGTAATGGTTTAATGTTAAAAACAGTATGGTGTAATGGTTTAAAGTTGAAAACAGTATGGTACAATGGTTTAAAGTTGACAACAGTATGGTACAATGGTTTAAAGTTGACAACAGTATGGTACAATGGTTTAAAGTTATAAACAGTATGGTACAATGGTTTAAAGTTGACAACAGTATGGTACAATGGTTTACAGTTGACAACAGTATGGTACAATGGTTTAAAGTTGACAACAGTATGGTACAATGGTTTAAAGTTGACAACAGTATGGCACAATGGTTTAAAGTTATAAACAGTATGGTGTAATGGTTTAATGTTAAAAACAGTATGGTGTAATGGTTTAAAGTTGAAAACAGTATGGTGTAATGGTTTAAAGTTGAAAACAGTATGGTGTAATGGTTTAATGTTAAAAACAGTATGGTGTAATGGTTTAATGTTAAAAACAGTATGGTGTAATGGTTTAAAAGAGCATGGTGTAATGGTTTAAAGTTAAAAACAGCACGATATAATGGTTTAAAGTTGAAAACAGTATAGTGCAATGGTTTAAAGTTACAAACAGTATAGTTTAATGGTTTAAAGTTACAAACAGTATAGTACAGTGGTGAAAGTTAAAAACAGTACAGTCTAGAAGTTTAAAGTTACAAACAGTAAAGTTTAATGGTTGAAAGGTACTAACAGTATATAGTATAATGGTTTGATTCTATCAACAGGAGAAGGAAGCCAGCATATCCCGACTAAAGGCTCAGCATGAGGAAAACATTACTACCCTGCTGGGACATTTTCCCGTGGACACTCTCCGAGAGAACATCAGTGACTACATCAGGTAGGACTTCTGATGTCTGGACCCTAATGTAATAAGTCTAATCCCCAGTCTGTTTCATTGTCTGATCCACAAAGTATTGTTCACAAAGTAAACACACTTAGGTCTGCTTTCTCAAAGTTTGTTTCATAAAGCAAGGCTATGCAGCTAAGTTTCCTCCGTGCCAACGTAGACAAAGTGGATCGTCACGCTCCATAGGCCCAAACCCCAATATAGAAAGATCATTAATACAATACAACTGGTAGTGATTTGTCGGCCACTTGTACGCCTCTACAGGCCATCTAGGCCGCCAGTTGAATAGCCCTGCCGTAGAGTATTGCCATGAAAGTCTAGTTTACAGTCTCTTCAGTAGTTATTAAAGAATAGTCTGCCAAGACAATCTGCAGTGTACAGCTAGTAAAGTTTAGTCCACAAAGTGGTTCAGGAAGTACAGTCCACTGAGTCTAGCTTACAAATTCTGAACAGAAAGATATATTTTAATGTTTTCCTACTTATTATGCGTTAACCATTTAAAGAGCATTTGGCATATTATGTTGTTTACAGCTGGGCTATGATATCTGTACCTTCTAGCTGTACATATCCAATTTTTAGTAAACCTTTAGGTAGTCACCTTTTATGTCATGATGCTCACTGAGGTGTGCTGGGTCTGTTTCTCCCCCTCTCCTTCCAGAAGGGTTCTTCTGAACACACACAGGGATATTTTAAAGTTTAACTCTGAGTACCAGAAGATCTGGCATATTTTTCCCAGGGATGAAGATATTTATAGGGAAGGCGAACATTGTTTGCATGTCATATTTTGAACTCTGGACATGCTGTAAAAAGCAAGGACAGTGCATTTCAAATTATTTGTACGCCAACCAATGGCAGAATGCTAAGATTTCTTTAAACCGCCACTATTCATTACCTCTGCCCAGAACTGTGTAAACAGAAAGACATGGCAGTGAACTTGAGCTTGTCCTGGTAAAACAAGCATTTGATTTTGAGAGTGATTTAATTGCTGCTTCGTTCATAAAGGATTCACTTATTTGCTTCCTTTCAACTGCTGCTGTAGAATTCACCTGATGAGAAACATATGCCAGGCAATAAATTGCCGCCTATTATATGTGTCATCTTTGTTCACATTAAAAAAATTTTTTAAATCTTGTCCAGTACCCAGACTGAAAGTGTAAGGAGATACACGGCTGAGTTAACTGAGCTCAGAAACCAGTTGTCAGCCAAGCAGGCAGAGAAAAACTCTGTTAACAACCAGCTGGCGCAGAAAGATGAGGAAGTGAGAAAGCTTGAAGCTCGAATTTCCAACATTTGTGACAGTCAGGACTTGGATGATGAGATAACCGAGGTTAGACTGTATTCCTTTGTCTTCTCATTGGTTGAATTACTTAAGTTTGATTGTGTCCCATTATTTTATCGGTCGAATTTCTGACATTTGATTGTGTGCCTTTGTCTTAGCAGTCAACTCACTGTTTAGACTGTTAAGTCTTATTTGACTTTGTTGATTTTTTTTAACCCTTTTATCGGTTCTGTATCCTCAAGTCTAACTTATCTTCCAGTGGTGAACCCTATTACCTTCAGTAATCCAGTGGATTACAGCAGAAAGGAAATGTCTACAGCGAATCCTAAGTGTAGCTAGAAGATAGACGATCATGTGTCAAGTCTACCGCGAGACAGTGCATCAGAGAGAGAGCCCAGTCACTTAGACAGTGCGTCAGAGAGAGCCATGTCAATTACTGCATCAGAGAGAGCCCTGTCACTTGGACAGTGTGTCAGAGAGAGCCATGTCACTTAGTGCATCAGAGAGAGCCTTGTCACTTAGACAGTGTATCAGAGAGAGCCCTGTCACTTGGACAGTGTGTCAGAGAGAGCCATGTCACTTAGTGCATCAGAGAGCCATGTCACTTAGACAGTGCATCAGAGAGAGCCCTGTCACTTAGTGCATCAGAGAGAGCCATGTCACTTAGACAGTGTGTCAGAGAGAGCCATGTCAATTACTGCATCAGAGAGAGCCTTGTCACTTAGACAGTGCATCAGAGAGAGCCCTGTCACTTGGACAGTGTGTCAGAGAGAGCCATGTCACTTAGTGCATCAGAGAGCCATGTCACTTAGACAGTGCATCAGAGAGAGCCCTGTCACTTAGTGCATCAGAGAGAGCCATGTCACTTAGACAGTGCATCAGAGAGAGCCCTGTCACTTGGACAGTGTGTCAGAGAGAGCCCTGTCACTTAGACAGTGCATCAGAGAGCCATGTCACTTAGTGCATCAGAGAGAGCCCTGTCACTTATACAGTGCATCAGAGAGAGCCATGTCACTTAGTGCATCAGAGAGAGCCCTGTCACTTAGACAGTGCATCAGAGAGAGCCATGTCACTTGGACAGTGCATCAGAGAGAGCCATGTCACTTAGTGCATCAGAGAGAGCCATGTCACTTGGACAGTGCATCAGAGAGAGAGCCCTGTCACTTAGACAGTGCATCAGAGAGAGCCCTGTCACTTGGACAGTGCATCAGAGAGAGCCATGTCACTTAGTGCATCAGAGAGAGCCATGTCACTTGGACAGTGCATCAGAGAGAGCCATGTCACTTAGACAGTGCATCAGAGAGAGCCATGTCACTTAGACAGTGCATCAGAGAGAGCCCTGTCACTTGGACAGTGCATCAGAGAGAGCCATGTCACTTAGTGCATCAGAGAGAGCCATGTCACTTAGACAGTGCATCAGAGAGAGCCCTGTCACTTGGACAGGGCCAACTTTAATTTTTTTTTTAAACTTAGACATAATTGAAGTAGAGCCAGAGATCGACCACGCAAGTGATGGATAGATGGAATAGCTGAGACTGTAAACACTCGCATCTACATAGCCCAAACCAAGGCTGTCATCCGATGACTCTTCAACACCTGACACTGAAAGGCAGAACAAGACTGGAGAAGAAGAAGAATAACATATTAAAATTACTCCATAGGCACACAGTTTGGGTGAAAAGAATCAAATGAAGGAATCTGGAGAAAACAGTATCTGACAACCCCATCACCCACATTATACAGCATGTAGCTTCATAACCACTGGCTGCCCCAATATCTGCAGTTTACCTATGTTTTGGAGCTATTACTTTTTTCTTCTTCAAAAATGATCTTGGCTCGTAGGTTGAACCAGCCATAATGGGTACCAGGTAATTAAACCCTAGGAATTAACGGTTCCCGGTATGATGTTGGCCACATTCACCCACCGAGTGCTGATCGGTCTTTACAATATAAGTCTAGCCCTATATGCCCAATACACATGAAGTTGGGGAAATGGGTCCTTTACTTTAATACACTTTTTATTATTGTGTTATACAAGTGAACAGGGTTTTTCAGATTTGCTTTTGTTTGGTTCCCAACTTGATAGTAGCTTTTCGGTCACTGGGTGGCAATGTCTCAGGCCTGCCACCCCAAAGGGGAAAAAAGATGCTGACTGCTTGTATCAAGTAAATCTGATCAGATCACAAAACTAGATGGGGTGTACATTAGGGAATAGGTAGATCAGGTTGTTGAATTATATATAGATAGCCAGACAGACAGACACTGTTTTTTATGGCGGAACTTCCTTCAAAACTGGCGCTTGTGCATGAAAAGCGAGGAGCCAGCAGCCTGCTTAGAAATGAGCCAGATCTGTAAAACGGATGTGCGTGCAAAAACTCAAGTTCAGGTGGTTAAAGTCAGTAAGTGGACAAACAACCAGAACTTACCACTGGAGTTAACAGCCGGTGAATGCTAAGAAGAAGAAGAAGAAGAATATAGTTGAACAGCATTTCTAGAATTTCCTTCTGTTTTGCATCCGAAAAGTGAGTTCTTGCATCACATCAGCTTTTCAAGCTGTTATCACGAAGGTGAAATAAAAAAAAAAAAACAGAAACGTATAATCATTTGTTTTTGAAATCTGTTATACCTACAGTAAAACCTTGTTTACACAAATTCCAAGGTAAAATTCAAGAGTTTGTGTTTAAATATTGGTGTCTGTGGTTTAGGCATTGTGAACACGCTTGGTAGTGCCGGGTTTGGTCCCAGCTGCGTTGGTTTCAACATTGGTACCGAGAGCTGACTGTTGGGAAAAGCAGTGGCAAACTCCTGAAAGTAAAATGTGCCTAGAAAAATAGCAAGAGCCAAAAATTGCTGAGGTTTTTTCTGCAACATCATGTAAAGGATACGCAACTAACTTAACTGTGTTTAAAAATCTTTGACCGGGCACTGCTAATAATACCTGTTGGGACAAACAAATTTTTGTTGATGTTAACCGAGGAGTGTTCTTCAGTGAGTTTGTGGTAACAAGGTTTTACTGTGTTACTTGAGCTGTGACAGCTGGACAAATCCGCTTAATTTGTAACCTTTAACCTTTAATGTTCATTAATGGCTAAGCAGGTAACTGTATTATCTATCTGTCCATTGCCTGTCTCCGCTTAATGCTGTTAGGCGTCGCAGACACGGCTAATGATTGATTTCTGGGATAGTACGTGCTTGTTAACTTGCCGCATGGGGATATTGTTGTGTTTCAGCAAGTAAACTCCGTCTATCCATTATCTTCTTGGCCTTTCTCTGCATCTTGATATATCCATTCTCATGTTGTATGCTCTTGCAACCGATGACTCTGGGTTCATTCTGACTAGATGGTCAAACCATTTCAGTTTGTGTTCTTCAGTAAACCTAATTACAGATGTTGTTCCCACCATTCTAATGATATCTTCTTTTCTTTTATGGTCTCTTTTTATTATGTTGACTGCTTTTCTCAAACATCTTATTTCACACATAATTAGTCTCCACTCAAAAAGTATTATACCAGTGAAATATTGTTTAATTGTGCAGGTGCAGAAGAGCTTGACACAGGCTCAGGAAGAGAAGGGTTCACTCCTTGGAGCTGATCACATGATTAAGAAATACATTAAGAACCTGGAGAAGAACAACCCAGCCTGTCCTCTTTGCCAGAGAGGATTCCAACAGGCTCAGGAAGTCAGGGAACTAATCCTCAAACTTCAGGAGCAGTTGCGTAAAGTGCCCACCAACATGAGGAAAGCCGAGGAGGATGTGGAGAAATATCGGAAGAAGTACGATGATGTCATGCAGCTGCGTCCTGTTAGGGAAAGTCTGATGATACTTCGGGAGAAGGATGTACCGAGTCTAAAAAGCAGGCTAAAGAAACTGGATGATGACATCAAGCGACTGAAAGAGGAGGTTCAGAATAAAGAAGATGAATTGAGTTTTCAAGAAAATGATCTTCTAACTGCCAAGAACCTCCAGCCTGATGTTGTTTACATGGATCGTTGCCGAGGTGAGGTCCGAGAGTTGGACAGAAAAATTGAGGCACAGAGAGTCTTGCTGTCTGCAGGTGGCTTGTCTCAGTCGATGGATGCAGTGATTGCTGCCAAGGAAAAGAGTCAACTCGAGCTTGGGTCCGTCACTCGCAGCCTTGACCGCCTCAGGGATGGACTCGAAAAATATCAGGAGCAGACACGCAAGCTGGCTTCTAGAGTTCATGACCTTCGAACTGAAAAGTTGGAGATTGAAGGAGAGCTGCAGCAGAAGACCAAGTTAGAGGAAAGGAAAGCAGCTCTGACCAGCGAAAACAACAATCTTCAGAGGGACATTGATGAGGCCATCGTGCAAATGAAGCCTCTCGAGGAGAAAATCCAGAAGCTGGTTGAAGAGAAGTCAGTGCTGTTAAAGAAGATGGAGAAGATGATGGAGTCTGCCAGGAATGAGGTTGAAGAGGTTAAGAAGAAAGGAAATTTGGTGAGTGATTGGAATACCATAATAAAAAAATATCAGCAGTCAGAGAAGTCGGAAATGTTGAAGAGAAAACGTGAGAAACGGTCTCAGCTAACTTCTTCCCGGACCAGAAAGGAAGAGGAGCAAGAAGAAGTTGCCGGCATCGTTAAACGACTGAGTAATGAAACTGTTGGTCAGCAGATTCGGGAAAGAGAACTTCAAGATATCCTGCAGCTCCGTAATCAGCAAGATCAGGTGAAAGACTTGGAGTTGAAGATTGACACACTACAGGAGCAGCTGGGTCCGCTGGATGCAAAAAGTTTGAATCGTCAACGGCAGAAGTTGGTTGAGCAAGAAGCTGACTTGACAAAAGAGTTGCATAATGCCACAGGCAGACAGCAAGGCTTCCGGGAGCAGATTAGAGCAGATAAGCGGAATCTGGAGTCTGACATGTATAAAGACTCGGACAAGAAATATGCAGCCAAGGTCATTGAGAACAAAACTACAGAAATTGTAAATGAGGATTTGCAGAGATACTACTCCGCCATGGACAGGGCAATTATGATGTAAGTCTATGTAAAGCTGTGTACTAGATGTGTGTGTGCAACTTGTAAAGCTGTGTACTAGATGTGTGTGTGCAACTTGTACAGCTGTGTACTAGATGTGTGTGCAACTTGTAAAGTTGTGTACTATATTTGTTTGCAACTTGTAAGACTGCAGTGTGTGTGGCTGTGTGTAATATTAAAGTTTATATGCATTGTCAATTGAATACACATTTAAGCCAGTTCTAAAGACTTCATTAAGCCAATTCTAAAGACTTCATTAAGCCAGTTCTAAAGACTTCATTAAGCCAGTTCTAAAGACTTCATTAAGCCAGTTCTAAAGACTTCATTAAGCCAGTTCTAAAGACTTCATTAAGCCAGTTCTAAAGATTTCATTAAGCCAGTTCTAAAGACTTCATTAAGCCAGTTCTAAAGACTTCATTAAGCCAGTTCTAAAGACTTCATTAAGCCAGTTCTAAAGACTTCATTAAGCCAGTTCTAAAGACTTCATTAAGCCAGTTCTAAAGACTTCATAGTCATCCTTAACCTTGTCCTCTTGAGCAGCCGCACAACCAACACTTCTAGTTGGGGTCAGTTCCCCATAAATGTCACTTTTTCAACTTGTCTCTGGTGATCTATTTATGAGACCTATAGTTAACACTGTTGGCTGTGTTCACACCTGCACAAACGTTTATGAGATCAGGATATGAATATATTAGCTAAAAAAAAATATGTTTATGTCAACATTTCCAATTAAAAAAACCAATCAACCATGGATAAGTCAAAAAGAGAAGCAAGTAAAAACCAGTTAACCAAGATGAGGGGAGGCTCTTCAACTAGAAGAAGTATGACACAGTGTGGAGAAAGCCGAAGGAGTCCAGATCGTCGACATACTTCCTCTCACCTAGGAAAACCTCAAGAATTGCCACCTGGAATGTTAGAACTCTCTAAAGATGGGGAGGACATGAGGAAGAGCTGCATGCGATAGCAAAGGATAGAGTGAGTTGGTTGAGGCCCTATGCTCAATCGGGGGGGTGGGGGGGGGGGGGGATGAATATATATATATTTATATAAATGAGCACACACACACATTGAATAAAGGATAAATACACAGTGAAAAGTCTAGTCTAACAAGAAAGGTTTAAATTCGAAAGGACTGCCTTTATTGCTCTGGATTTTGTACTATATGACTCAGTCTCTATAAGCACAACAGCAAGCTGCCCAGATTGTTGCACGAGCACCATAGCTCCAGCAGCGATCATCAGGATCTCTGAAAATATTGTATTTGTGAGCTGAATGACACTGTCTGTGAAATAAGCCTATGACCTGCATAGCAAAACAGACATATGATGCTTCGGAAACAGACAAGGAGACGATCACAAATGGGATGAATGTTAGAGGAAGAAACCCTTCAACGGAGCATCTCACATGGAGTAAACGAACAAACAAACATTGTTAAATGGTCACAAATGGGCATGCATGTCCTTCCTATCTTTGGCCCTTCCAAACCCTAATCTTTCACACACAAATTGTAGTTTTTCTATAAAGTATGGTCATCAAGTAAAGGATTCTTTTCTATTCTTTTCTCCAGGCATATAGGGCTAGACATATATTTTATAGACCAATCGGCACTCGATGGGTAATGTGGTCAACATATCACCTGCCACCTTTACTTCTCACTCAAGGCTGGGTCGACCTGGGAGCCAAGGTCATTTAAAAAAAAAAATGTCAGGCTTTATCAAGACCCGAACTTACGACCTTCTGATCCGCAGGCGAGCGTCTAGCTACCATACCGTGGCGATTCCCTAAGCATGTTCATAGTAATAAGTATAATAGTGCAAACACTATTATCCCTCTGTGGGTCCAGACACCCTTTTCTTTATTGTGGGGAGGTGGGATAGACCCATTGCCTCCCTAAAAGTAGTTGTAAAAGGCAAATGATCAAGGATTTTTCTCAGAAGTCAGAGCCTATCTTCCAAAGAGGTGAGAAACCAGCAGTCTGCATATATGTAAACCAGATCTGTAAAATGGACGTACATGCAGAATTGAAATTATGGAACAAGACCAAAGTTCTGAAGGGAACAAACAACCAGAACTTTTCTCTGAGTTTACGGGCGGTGAGAGTTAAGAAGAAGATAAATTATGTTATGTTTAGCAGCATGCATCAAAGTGATGATATGTTTACCGAAGCTTTACACACAATAATACCAGGTATCACAAGTCCAAGATGGAGGAGATCAACATCATTATTCGGGAGCTGTGGAAGAACACCTACACGGGCAACGACATCGAAACTATCGAGATCCAGTCAGAGGCTGATGAGGAGGCTTTGACTGCTGCAACTATCAAAACCAGACGTACTTATAACTACAGGGTGGTGATGATCAAGAATGGGATCCCTGTTGACATGAGAGGCCGGTGCAGTGCCGGGCAGAAGGTATGTGGTTATCTGTAGTCTGTTTAAAGTGTGGCTGATATAAAATACAGTGTCCTGTAAGTCTCCATGCATATGTAAAGTAAACATTTGTTTTAACAATAACCATTCTTATTTTATCTAAAATGCTCTGCTTGGCTACCTGCTTGAATGAGAACAAAGGTAGCAAAACAGAGCATTTTATGTAAATAATAATGGTTATCGCTAAAACAAATGTTTACCTGGGCAAGTGATATTGCAAGGTACCAGAAATAATGCTCCAGGGCCAGATGGTGAACGCTATGCCTATATCAAACAGTAATCTCTCTCTCTCTCTCTCCCCCTCTCTCTCCCCCTCTCTCTCTCACACACACTCTCACACACATTTGATAACAGCTCTAAAAAAAGGCAAAGACTAGGGGGAAACTTACCACAAACATCAGAAAGAGGCAGTCATCATTTTTTAGGGGCCACATGAGAAGAAACAGGTTGTATGGTGGACACACAGTGGGAAAACAGGGTTCGATTTTTGTTTGTAATGGTAACATTATCTATTCATTCTTGTGCTGAGAAAAGCTTTTTAGCTGCAGCGTTCTTGTGTCGTTTCTGATTGGTTTTGCTTTTCATTTGGTTTTATATCTTTTCATAATAAGGTCAGGAAACAAGTATATTAAGGATGCAGTGATGTTGAGTTCTGTCGCCGCTGTTAACAGTTACACTTTTGTTCCTGTCAAATGTTAAACTAATCAGTTCTGTCCCAGTCTAGTGTTATACTAGTCGGTTCTGTTCTAGTCTGGTGTTATACTAGTCAGTTCTGTCCCAGTCTAGTGTTATCCTAGTCAGTTCTGTTCCAGTCTAGTGTTATACTAGTCGGTTCTGTTCCAGTCTGGTGTTATACTAGTCAGTTCTGTCCCAGTCTGGTGTTGTCAGTTCTGTCCCAGTCTGGCGTTATACTAGTCAGTTCTGTCCCAGTCTGTTGTTATACTAGTCAGTTCTGTCCCAGTCTGGTGTTATACTAGTCAGTTCTGTCCCAGTCTGGTGTTGTCAGTTCTGTCCCAGTCTGGTGTTGTCAGTTCTGTCCCAGTCTGGTGTTATACTAGTCAGTTCTGTCCCAGTCTGGTGTTATACTAGTCAGTTCTGTCCCAGTCTGGTGTTATGCTAGTCAGTTCTGTCCCAGTCTGGTGTTATACTAGTTAGTTCTGTCCCAGTCTAGTGTTATACTAGTCAGTTCTGTCCCAGTCTGGTGTTATACTAGTCAGTTCTGTCCCAGTCTGGTGTTATACTAGTCAGTTCTGTCCCAGTCTGGTGTTATACTAGTCAGTTCTGTCCCAGTCTGGTGTTAAACTAGTCAGTTCTGTCCCAGTCTAGTGTTATACTAGTCAGTTCTGTCCCAGTCTGGTGTTGTCAGTTCTGTCCCAGTCTGGTGTTATACTAGTCAGTTCTGTCCCAGTCTGGTGTTATACTAGTCAGTTCTGTCCCAGTCTGGTGTTATACTAGTCAGTTCTGTCCCAGTCTAGTGTTATACTAGTCAGTTCTGTCCCAGTCTGGTGTTATGCTAGTCAGTTCTGTCCCAGTCTGGTGTTATACTAGTCAGTTCTGTCCCAGTCTGGTGTTATACTAGTCAGTTCTGTCCCAGTCTAGTGTTATCCTAGTCGGTTCTGTCCCAGTCTGGTGTTATACTAGTCAGTTCTGTCCCAGTCTGGTGTTATCCTAGTCGGTTCTGTCCCAGTCTAGTGTTATCCTAGTCGGTTCTGTCCCAGTCTGGTGTTATACTAGTCAGTTCTGTCCCAGTCTGGTGTTATCCTAGTCGGTTCTGTCCCAGTCTGGTGTTATACTAGTCAGTTCTGTCCCAGTCTGGTGTTATACTAGTTAGTTCTGTCCCAGTCTGGTGTTATACTAGTCAGTTCTGTCCCAGCCTGGTGTTATACTAGTAAGTTCTGTCCCAGTCTGGTGTTGTCAGTTCTGTCCCAGTCTGGTGTTAAACTAGTCAGTTCTGTCCCAGTCTGATGTTATACTAGTTAGTTCTGTCCCAGTCTGGTGTTGTCAGTTCTGTCCCAGTCTGGTGTTAAACTAGTCAGTTCAGTCCCAGTCTGCTGTGATACTAGTCACTTTGTCCCAACATTACTATAGTTCCTTTATCACATCAGTTTATTGTTTAAATCCCTTGAAGCCCAACACAGGTTTTCTTAACTTAAAACTCCTGTTTATAGACAAGTGTACATTAATGACTGACCCGAGACAGAAATATTATAATTATGTACTTCAGGTTTTCATTTACAAATGATTTTTTTTCATTTAGTCGTTACCAACATGTTTTCAGCTTTGTTTGTGTTTACAATTGCAGGTATTGGCCTCATTGATAATTCGTTTGGCCCTGGCAGAAACTTTCTGTGTCAACTGTGGAGTTCTCGCTCTTGACGAACCGACAACAAACCTAGATAGAAAGAATATTGAAAGTCTTGCCTTTGCTCTAGTCCAGTAAGTAGCTTTCATGTTCACTGCAGCCAGAAATCAGATCCTAGCATGTCACACATCAGATCCTGGCATGTCACGCGTCAGATCCTGGCATGTCACGCAGCAGATCCTGGCATGTCACACGTGAGATCCTGGCATGTCACACATCAGATCCTGGCATGTCACACATCAGATCCTGGCATGTCACACATCAGATCCTGGCATGTCACACATCAGATCCTGGCATGTCACGCATAAAGTTAGAGTATAAATTGTTTGATTGCTTTATGTGTATTAGTCATTAGTTGAGGTGCTAACTTCAGTGCAGATGGGTTCTCTCATTACTGATCCGTTTTCTTGCTAGTGGAAATCACACAAAACATCCTTCGGCTGTTCCATGTAAAGACTAGTGAAAAGCATCTCAGTCCCAGCAAAATCTTTAAGCTCGCACACACACAAAATTAATGCATAAGGCAGCCATCAGAAGTGTCAACACTAAGTGGGTCTCGAGGTATAGTGTCTGCCTCGGGTGCTGGAGGTCCCGGGTTCAAGCCCCGGTGAAGGCTGGGATTTAGAGGTAAAAAAATCTACCCAAATTATTTCAGGATCCTTGCTGGTGCAACGGAGTTCGTGCACTGCACTGAGATTATTCAAACTCACTTGGGTTTGAAGTAAAACGGAGCGCTTATGGGTTACACCCGTGTGCCATGATGTCGCACCTCATAATACAAATAGTCACTTATGAAAGATTAGACACACAACGTGACTTAAATGCACACCATTCCAAATGCAATCAGCTAGTTTAGTGCAGTTCACAACACAAGCCGTTGAGGCCAGAACAGAAAAACAGACATTCCACATGAAATATGCTTTATGTATTAGAATGTGAGTTGTTAGGCTGAAAACACTTGCAAACATACTGAGGAGGAGATCAGAGCACTTATGGTCAGGTCTGATGTGCGGTGAAGATGATCTTTAACTCTTTGAGTCCCGAGGAACGCATCATACGTTCATAGGTTCCTACCCAGAAGCCCAGTGAACTCAAGATACGCCAATTTTATGACTCTCTTGACTACCCCCGGTGCCTGTGATGCTAAACCCCCTGGGACTCAAAGAGTTCAATGAACAGTATGCTAAATATGTTGGGAGCTGTGGTGGCTTGCTTCTCGCCTGCCAGTCCCATGAGCCACGACCAGCTCTAGCTGACGGGCCATGCTGCTGACGTCACCGGATCGGGCTAACGATGCGTTAAAGCAAAAGTTCTCAAACTGGGTGCCGAGGCATCCTGGGGTGCCGTGAGCTTATGCCAGGGGTGCTTAATCAAGAAAATTCGGCTAAAAATTGTGAAATTATTAAAAAAAGGCGTGTAGATACTTACAAGTTAAAATTTAAGTTGTCTTCCCTCGCCATTGTTGAAAACAGTTTATTTCTTGTTTGAGAACTGCTGCGTTAACGCATCGTTAGCCCAGCCCGATGACGTCAGCTAGAGCCGGTCGTGCATGAGCGAATTTTTAAATCTTCTTTGAGATGGCAATGTTTTTAGAGGTTTTAAGTCGGCAGAGCGCTGATAAGTCGAGTCACTGCATGCTGATCATCTGAACATTTCTGCTATGCAATTATGACATAGAATGTAGACAAAGGAGAACATTAAAATATATTTGATAAAATAGGCTTTTATGTGAAACGCATCACATAATTAATACACTAAAAAAGGTAACAAATTATTTCTTATATAGTTTATTCAAGAATTCTCTTTAAAAAATTTATTGACAATTTTATATCATGGATAATAAAAAAGGTGGGATGCTAAATAACAAAATCTAATGATTGACTTCAGTTGTCGAAAGTAAAAACCATTATCTGTATACTCGTGGTTGTTAAATAGTCATAAACTTCGTAATTATTGGTGTATAGATATCACAGGAGTCTTATCATAAAAGCTTATTTCATAAATATATTGTTTATGTTTCTATCGCTATTAAAAAATGCTCGACCAATATGCTTCATAAAATGAAAAGCATCCTTTCATCAATCTTTTACTGCTATCCATAACCATGTCCCATTTTTGCCGGGTCAGCCTGGTTTTTAGGTAAGCCCAGTGCTGTTAGATCAAGAAACTGAGAAAATGTTAACCGATTTGGGAGTAAGATCAAGGAGCTGAAAAATGTTAAATCATTTGTGTTTATGTTGTAAGATTATCAATGACATGATCAGCTGTGTAACTGATTTGTGTTCATGTTGTGAGATCAAAGAACTGAGACAAATGTTCACTGACTCGTCTGTAGGATAATCAAAGAACGGAGCAGTCAGCGCCATTTCCAGCTAGTGGTGATCACCCACGATGAGGATTTTGTGGAGTTGCTGGGGAGGTCGGAGTACGTGGATGAGTATATTCAAGTCAGCAAGAATGCTGAGTGAGTATGTCTTTACAGTCATCATCCTTCACTTTCCATCCTTATCTTTTGTTTCTTTCATTGTTCTCTTCAGTGTCCTCATGTTTCCCTTTGCTTGTGGATAATTGTGGTTTTAAGAACAATATTCATTATTATATACCTATGCCTGGCACAGTGATTTCTGTCACAGGTCTGAGGGAAAGTCCTATGTGATGTGTATAAGAAGACACTCCGAACCTCACGCGGGCACCAGCCCTTCACTGTTCTCATGCAAGACTCCTGCTGCACGTCCCCGTCGTGCATCACAGATAATGTCTCAAATGAGCATCAACAGAGCTGGCAGGGGATCTCAGAGTTGGCCGCTCCCAGAGGTGTAGTGTCTATTCTGACACTCATCAGCCCGCCCTCAAACATATGGTCTATCAATACTTATTTGGAACATGAGTAAAGTCTGCTTGCCAAATGTACCACTAAATGACATCTCTCGGTACAAAAGTCTGTTGAGTGAAAGGAAAACTGCACTGCTGAGACTCAACCCTTAACCGAGAGATTTACCTGCAACTTAGATGAGAAACATCTTCTGTGGGCGGTTTCTCGCAGTAAATCCTACCTACCTGGGTAGGGCATAGAAGGGTGTCAACATTAGAACTGATACCTGATTTCAGAGACAGATTGTGGAGAGGCGTGACCGATAAGGCACTTCATGATGCTGTCCCGTGTTTGTCCCTGTATAAGGTAATATTTTCCCAAATTTCTCCTTGGAAATTGGGTGTTGTTTTATACACAGAATGTGTTTAAAATATTTATTTCTGAACTTGAGAGCTATGTTCTGCAAAGGACCTGCTACATAATGATGATGACAGCTGGTCACTTTTACCAGTAATCTTGCAGTTTGGACAGTGTCCATGTTTTGCACTGATAGCAGATTGTTGGCAGACTTTTACGTGAATTCTAGAGAACTGTAGTCCTATTTTATAAAACTACACACTAGTGTTGAAGAGAAGTCACAGACAAAGGATAGTAATGAAGATTTGTAAAATATATCAAAGTTGATCATTGTCTGTTTTACAAAAGAGTAACTTTCCACTGTTTTATTGCAGGGGTCTGTCACGACTTTCCATTAGAAAAGTTGAAGAACTGCACACATAGCATATGATGTATGAAGTCGCCTGCTTCTGGAGGGTCATGTCTTCTCCTGGCTGCCATCAACGAAGCCCATGATTAGATAACTAAATTTCTGTTAAACAGCTATGCCAGGGTTATTTAAAGTCTTGTACTATAAAACTGAAAATCCATATATTGGTCTATCTGTATATTTCTTGGTCACAAGAACTCCTCGAAAATGGGGACCAACAGAGGAATGAAATTTGCAGAGAGTCATTCTGGCTGCAATGTCTGAGTCAACTGTGCTATTTGCAACAAGGTTGCTACATATTTCTGATAATTAACGCCATAGTCGATAAAGGTTCACATTCACTCAATTTATTTCCCTTGAGTTCTACGTATTTTTTCACCCCCCTGAAGAATAAGCACAACTATGTTTTGCTGTTACCTCACTTCAAACTTGATGTCTGGACGTTGTGGTTTTCTTTTAGCAGTGGGAGCTACGATAGCATACTGGCTATAACAGTGTTTCCCAAAGTCAGGGCTAACTATCCCGGGCAACGCTTGGAAATGAAATCTAGTTTTTGTATAAAGCATGTCTAAAAGTAAGATAAAGTCTAACCAACTTCCGAGTCATAGAGGTAGGATCATCTGAGCATTAACACTCAGTTTCAACTGTCTTTACTGACGGTAGTTGCCCCACTTTTTGAGGATTGAGGGCACCTGGGCCGAACAGTTCAGGTTAGCAATTGTATTTTTGATCCCGACCCTAACATTTCCATCACCTGACTTGGGATTCTAACCCCGCCTCCTGTATGAGAGCCCAGTACTAGCCACTTGGCTAGCTGCTTGTCTTGTAAACTAACCACTATAGTATTTCTGGGGGCAAGATGGCTACATGTAAGGGTGGGAGGGTGTATATCTGTGCTGTAAGGCAAGATATGTTGCCTTCTGTCCATTTTTGTTTGGTTATTGTTCATCCTGAATCATCTGGCAATCCTAGCAGAGTTTCGCCTCAAATGGAAATTTTTTTTGGGTAGTACTGTGTTAATATGAGAGTCGCCGTGGCAGAGCGGCTGGACGCTCGCCGCGGATCGGAAGGTCATAGGTTCGCTCCCTGGTGGAGCCAGATTTTTTTTCTCAAAAATGACCTTGGCTCCCAAGTCGACCCAGCCTTGAGTGGGTACCGGGTGCAGTCCCGGGAAGTAAAGGCTGCCGGCGTGATGCTGACCACATCACCCATCTTGTGTCAATCGGTCTATAAAATATAGGTCTAGCCCTATATGCTCTATACGCCTAAAGGCGTCAAAAAGGGCCCTTTACTTTACTTACTGTGTTAATATTGCCCAAGTTTTACGCTGATAGAATTGGAAGGCACATATATCGCAGACCAGCTGTAAACCACAGCACAATGTGCCAACCACCCTTATAAGGTCAAACACAGAGGAAGACAAAGAATAGTGATAACAAAGTGTTGTAAGATAACAAATAATGATCTTTTTGTTATTTAACCTCTATCCTAATCTT